CCTCTCCGCGCCCATCAGCTCCGGTCGGAATCGGCTCCGCCCGAGAGTCCCCCAGCCCTCCCCGCCCGCCCGCGGGGTCCCCGGGACGCACCTGCTGATTGGCCCACGACGAGGCAGACGGCGTTGAGCGCCCCTGACGAGGAGCCGTAGAACCGGCCGGCGCCCTGGAGCAGGCGCGGGGCGCGCTCCCTCAAGCACTGGGTCACGCCCACGTGGTAGAGGCCCAGGAAGCCCGCGCCGGAGAAGCACAGGCTCCAGCTGCCCTCCTCTTGGAAGCAGTTGCTCATGGCGTCGGGGTCCCGCGGCGCCGAGGTTGGAATGCGGCGAGGAGGCGCGGCCAGCGGCAGAGGGCAGGGATGGATGGGGCACAGGCGTGTGGAAGCCTCTCCAGATGTGGCCCAGAAGGGACACTCTTGTGGGAGCCCGGGGCCCCGCCCCAGCAAATGAGATCCCGGGGTCGCTGACCTCCCTCTCCTCCAGATGAGCACCAGGTATGATGCAAACATGTCGACAAGCTGTGGGTGCCTTGACACCACTCCTACGTGCCTGCCCTAGGTTTGGTTCAGGGCCCCAGACTGCAGTCTGATGTGGCCCCCAGGGAATGGGACCAACACCTGGTCTGATCACTGGCAGTCCAGGTGGAAGTGTCTGCCCCAGACCTACAGATGAGGAAATCCAGGGCAGGAGGGCAAGCCAGGAAGTGGCAGAGCTGGATCCACAACACCTGGTCTTCGGTGCTGACAGACTTAACTTCTGCAACTGCCCTGGTTCAGTGGGCCAGGAATCCAGTGGGAGGCAGGACATCTGGGTCCCGGACTGTCCCCACTACCCGTGGACTTTGCCCTAGCTCCTCGCCCTTTCTGGGCTCTGTTTTTTTTTTTTTCAGCATAATATGAGGGGCTTGGCTTTGAAGACTTCTAGAGGTCTTTCTGCTCTGACCTCTGCACCCTCAGACAAGACCTTGCAATCAACTGGCCAGCTCTGGGGGGCAGGGAGAGGCCCTGAAGGCAGGAGCAGCAGGCACTCACCCTGTGCAGTCACCTTCACAAAGCTGTGTGAGTAGGGATCACTGTACCTACGTTCACTTGGGGACACCAAGCGTGGACATGGCTAGCAAATGCTTCAAAGACAACTTGGCCACATCCTGTGAACCAAGCAGCCGTTCTGGAAATCAAGCCAGGACAATGGGTGAAAGTAAGTACCCTCGAGAAGTTCTCTGATGTGGCCACTGGATACCACGGAGAAGCAGGGTTGGCGGCCGTGCCTGTGGTAGCGGATTGTAGACAACTGCCCCGCCGCCGCTCCCCAGGGATGGGTGAGAACCACAACGGGCACTATGTGGAATGTCAGGGAACCTTAGAAGCGACAGGCACAAAGAAGAACGGGGTTTATTGCATGAGGCCGTTTATGCAAACACTCCCAAAGCGACACTATGTATCTTTAAAATAACATATTAACTGCCTAGAAGATGAGTCGGAAGGTCACGTATTACATACGTCAGAGACGGCTCCGGGGACTGAAGGGCAAGGGAAGCAGAGGTGGGGAGGAAAGGGCGATGAATAAAATAACAAAATAAAACAGACGATGTGCGCCTGAGGGGCTCGAAAGGCGGGAAGGGGACACAGGCGGGAGGCAGCAGCAGAGGTGGGCCCCAGCCCAGGCCAGCTGCACTTGACCTGAAGCTCGGGCTCCCTGTGCGCCACCTCCACACTGCGTAGCGGTCAGACCACGGGGGCCGAGCCTCCTCTGCTCACTCACAATTCCAGGGCACAGACTGCCTGGAGGCTTGTCTCCACGGAGGTGGGGGCCGGAAGCTCAGGAGAGGCTGAAGGTGAGTGCCACACCTATGCAGGTCTTTCCCTCCTACCTGGCATCGGGCTAAGCACTTTTCCAGGGTCATCTCATTTTACCTTCACGACAGTCCTGTGAGATAGACAATATTGCTGACCTCATTTTACAGCTGAAGAAACCGAGCTATAAATCAGGAACCCAAGAGAGCTCTACCAGTGACAGGCCAAGCGGGGACTCTGCTGGCCTCCTGTGCCCTAGCAGGAGACAGGGTGGGGGCAGGAAACGGAGTCGGGGGACCCTGCTTCAGGCTGGAGGAGCCATGGGGACTCTGCTGAAGGGCATGGGGTTTCATGACTCAGGGAGGGGAACCTCCCCCCCCCGCCACAGCAGTCAGGATGGAACAGTGCTTCCAGAGGGATCCCGGGAGGTCGAATGTGGGGAAGTTGGAGACACAGTAAGTCAGGCTAAGGGCACAGTGACTAGGACAGGTGGGCCACCCAGGCTGGTGGCAAGGTGGGGCACACCAGGACTGATGCACCCTTGGGACTTCCGGGTAGAGGTGCATGCGAGCTGTGGGGAGAGAGGGGGGACTGACTGTACACGGCACTGGTTGGGACGAACTGGCATTGGGGTAGTGGCAGTGGTCACGGAGACACAGGGAGAGCGTGTACTTCAGAAAAGAGCCTAGAATGAGCAGGGACTCTGTAAACTGCCACCGTGTGCTTCCCAAGTTTACGGCTAAGGGACAAATGCAAAGTGCAGCACAGCATATGTAGGATACTACCTTTCGTATAAGACATAAGGAGAAATAAGAAAACAGTCCTGCATCCGCTTTTTTCTCTTCTTTTTGGAAACAGAACCAAGGAGGGAGAGGCACTAAGAAGTTAAACCGTGAACTAGATATTGGTACTGGCAAGGGGTGGGCAGGTCAAGGGGAAGGGACGTTGAGCAATACGTTTTGAGTCTACCTTCATGTTTAAACTTGACTTCGGAACTGCTTTGTAATAGCCTGCTGAAATGTGAAAGGGTTAAAGAATAATTAAAACCTGAAACTGGACAAAGGAAGTCTATAACTTCGGCCTAGTTTCTGGAACCCCTAACCACATTCTGTTAATCATGAAACTTGGAACAATGAGCTCATACGCTAACTGCCAATTTTAGCCTGTGTAACCCTGCTTGCTTGCGTGGCATGAAAAATAATCAATTGTATATACGCTGAAAATTACTGTTTGGCCATCGCCCATGGGAACACTGGCTATTGCCCATGAGAACATAGGCAATCACCCATAGGAACATAACATTCTAACAACAAGCTTTCTGCTTCTGTACTTCCCGCTTGCACACCTGACCAGTGGGTTGACAGGTAGTGAATAGGAGAAAGATGGACCTTTGTGTTTAAGACAGAATGAGGAATGGGATTTGGGGCTTAAAAACCTTGTATCTTAGCATTTCGGGGCTGCTCCTTTGCAAGGACAGCCGCCGGCTAATAAACTGTCTCCTGGTTAAGAGCACTCAAGTTGGGTCTGGTTATTCTGGACACAACACTTTAGCCTTTTATACACTAAAAGGAAAATCCTCGAACGTTAGATGAAAAGAATCTTAAAATGGAGGGCGCGCAGAAATAAACGAACCTAACTGTATTTCTCCTTAATCGTATAACCACACAGAATTGGGGGTTTTTGAACACTGGACTTTGACCTGATGTCCTCAGGCCACGAACAGGAGGACTGCAAACAAGGGCTGACCTTCAGGAAATCCTGAAACTCTTGCCCGTGATTCGTAGGATGAGATATTGATGGTAACAGGAGTTAGGTGCTCACCGTTTGTGAAAAGAGTTACGAACACAGAAAGACAAAGGCTAGAAAGAACCCTAAATTGGAATTGAAAGTATCAGCATGAATTCGTGAGTTAAGAAAGAAAGATAGACAGAGAGATCTAGACACAGTTGTAGATACATGTGTCTTACTATTATTCTTACATAGTTTTATTTGGATTTTGAACACCGTCCTCTGAAAGGGCCTCGAAGCAAAAATACCCCAGACTAAATCTGGGACAATTTAAACATCAAAACAAATAATTTTAATAATAGAATGTTTATGGAATAAAATAAGAGTCTATGAGTCCATAAATGAAATAAATGAATAAATAAATGGAAATGCTAAGTAATCATTGTACACAGTAATATGAAAACGGAGAATCATTTTGCGGGATTCTCAGTTGTAATCGATTCGGCCGATAGTCATCAACAGAGGCCAGATCTGGTGGGGACAGGGAACAGGATATTTACATAGTTTCAAAGTATCTCTCTCACATTTACTATTAATGACAAAAATAAAACTAGGTTACAGTGGATTAACCCTGCAAATACAGCCATAACCAAGTATCAAAGTCATCGTCACCAATAACGAGACAGACTGACATCACATGCCTCCGGGTACGATCCCCTAAGAAGGACAAACGGGTGAAGGACAGAATAATGACTCTCCAAAGATGTTCCCATCCTAATACTAAGAACCTGTGAATATGTTATCTTACATGTCAAAGAGTCTTTGTGGGTGCAATTAAATGAAAGACCTTAAACTTGGGAGGTCATCCTGGATTATCTGGGTGGGTCCAATGTCATCTTGAGGGTCCTTAAAAGTGGAAGGGGGAGGTAGAAGAGTCAGAGAGAGGTTTAAAGACGCCACAGTGCTGACTCTGAAGATAGAAGAAGGGGCCACAAGCCAAGGAATGTGAAGTCTCACAGGGACATGGGATCTTTCTAGAGCTTCCAGGAGGAGTGCAGCCCTGCTGGCACTTTGATTTTAACTCGGTGAGACCCATTTCAGACTTCTGACCTCCCAAACTGTAAAATAATGAATCTGTGTTTTTCTAAGCCGCCTTAGTTCGTGGTCACTTGTTACAGTGGCAACAGGAAACTAATACACATCGCTTCCATAGAGTTCTTGACGAAAATGCATAACTTGAATGATATTCAGAGGAAACATGATGTAAGAGATTAAATTAGATTACGGGACATTTTACTAGATAACTTACCTGTACTCTTAAAAAAAAAAAAAAAAAAGGTAAGACCATGAAAGATGAAGAAAGACAGGTTGAAGGAGTCTCATGAGACATGGTGACGAAGTATCATACGTGGCCCTGGCTTTGATCCTGGCCTGAAGGGGCCACTGGAGAAATGTAGGTGTGAGCTGTGAAGGAGACAACAGCGCTGTGTTGACGTTTCGTTTCCCAATTTCGAAAACTGCGCTGTGATTACACAAGAAGTTCTTGTTCTTTGGAAAGTCACCGAGATGTTCAGGAGCAGAGGAAAGAGCTCTGCGACCTACTCTCCAACGCTTCCAAAACAAAACAATCTCTAGCTCTGTATATCTCTATCCCTAACTATTTATCGATATTTAGATAGAAGGAAAGTCGATGCGGCAAATATTACTGATGGAAGAATCTGGGTAACGGGGACGCGAGAGGTTCGTTGCTTTTTGGTTTTTGTTTTTTT